AATCTTGTGAAACTGAAAGTATTTAATAAATTATGAGGGAACACTTCTAAATAAAAACACAATTTCAAATCCTTTCAACTTTTATGGGCCTGTGTTGCTGAAATGTTGAACAAAAATGTCTAAATTGTGCAATTGTTTTATGAATCGCAAATCTAATCCACAGGATGTCTCCACGAATCGATGACGTTATGAAGCTGTGTTGTGAGTTGTCCACCAATCAGCAAGTTAAGACCACAGTAAAAGGTTCTGGGAAAGGAGCAGCAGCAGCTGGGGCGCTGGCCTTTGCTGGAGGATTGGTTGGAGGTCCTCTTGGCATAGCTGTAGGTGAGTGGAACAATTTAACAGTTCTTCTATCTTTAGTAACCATTTCTAATCATATAGATTCATCATAAATGCTGATGTATTGGAATTAAGCTGTTTATTTTGGAGTGATCAGCATTATTGCTTTATCTCAAAAGTTTGACATTTTGATCCTCTGTAGGAGGGGCTGCTGGAGGCCTTCTGGGCTGCTGGCTGACCAGTGGTCAATTCAAACCACTCCCACAGATCATAATGGAGCTCAGCCCTCAGGAAAAGCAGAAGCTTTACGATGATCTCATGGAAATCCTGGGAGACATTGAGTGGACTGATTTGGCTCAGCTGATTGCTCTAGTCATGGGCAATGCAACTCTGAAGCAGCAGCTTACGGCTGCTCTTCTTGGATACATCACCAAGGAGCTCCAGGCAGAGGTGCACTATGTTGATTAGTCGCTTTCAATATTGTGACACAGAAGCCTAAATGCAGAGGAGGATGTTCTCTGATGAGTGTGAACTGCTTTTTGACACTTAAAGACTCTTAATTAAATTCTGTATGATATAAATGTGAAATATGTTGATGAAAACAGCTGTATGGTTGGGTAATTTATTTTGATAAGTGCAATTATTACTTATTTATTGTACTATTTATTCTGTCTTTAACTGCACCGATCATCAAGTCTGGCTTTAAGTCATAGTGAATTTTAGGTTTGATGGAGTTGTGATTTTGTCCAGTCTACTGTCTTATTTACATAAGAAGGATTGTGAACTAAGCCAAAATTCTGCTGTGTAATATAAAGATTTGATTTAATTACATCAATTACCAGCCTTTTTACATTTTAGCAGATTGGCCAGCAACTGTATACAGCATAGTGTACACTTTGAATAAAAAATAAAACCAGTGTGGACTTTGTGGCATTTGGCATAGCAGTCTTTATTCCTTGGCATTGAATCCATCTGGGCATTAACACTGTAGATCTGTCTTTTATTAAACTTAGTACTAACACACTTAAGCTAGCATGCTGGGGTTGGCATAGGATTCTAGTCATCTGAAGGTCTGTGATTTTATCCTGGCTCGTCCAGTCTGTACGTTGAGGGGTCTTTGGGCAAGATACTGAACCCTAAGCTGCTCTTAGTGCATCCATGAGCATTTGTGTGAGTGTGTGTGCTTACTATTCACGTGAAAGTGCTCAAAGGCATAAGACACATAGACTATAGAATGTGTGAATATGTGCATATAGCATGTGGAGTAGTGGTTCAAAAAGATGTCCATTTAACTTCCATTTTATTGTAATTCTGCTCTATTTTATAGACATTTATCTTCTCCATTAACCTTTTATCAGCCTGAATGAAGAATCGCCTTTAAGAAAGTGCCTCCAGACATCCTTAATAAGAGAGTTGGCTGTCACACTAATGAATCAAGTTATTTTTTAAGCATATGTATGTTTAAATATATCTTGATGCATTCTCAATCATCCAGGAAAATAAATCTCCAAAAGTTGATTCTGTTCATCTGGACATAGCGTTTTCAGTGGGAGAGAAAATTACGTCACTCATCCAAGTGACTTCTTCAGTCTCTGAACAGAATCAACTTTTGGAGATGTTTAAATATAGTTTTATACACCTGTTGTGGGTGTTTTGGTTCTGTATTTTACATGGTTTCATTCCTGCTTTAGTCATTTCTGCTAAAAACTTTCTTCTGGTCTATTTATCTTTGCTTTTCTACTGTTGTGTCACTGGCCCAATAATAAAGTGGTGAAAAATTGTTTGTGTAAGTAGATTAAGTTCTTTTTAAGATCCAGTATTAAAGTATAATTGCTTTATGATATCAACATAATGAACTGAAAAATACCCCAGTTAAGACTGAAAAAAACATTCATGATTTCAATAATAGAGTTGGATATAATATTCTTTATTAGTAAATACACAACCCCAATTCTCTCAGGGAGCCATCAGAAAATACATATTACAGAGAGGAACCGAGGCAGAGCTCCTGTATTTATCCCACCACCACTGTTTCATCATCTGGGAATTCATAGTAGGGAACCTCTAGGTTAAGGGGAGCGGGTCCCTTCCTGATTCTTCCTGAAGCATCATAGTGAGAGCCATGGCAGGGACAGTAGTAGCCTCCGTACTCTCCGGCATTAGCAATGGGCACACAACCCAGATGAGTGCACACACCAAGAACGATGATCCACTTGGGGTTGGTCACTCTATCCTTGTCATGCTCGGGATCACGCAGCTCTGCAAGATTCACTGCTTGCTCTGTGGCGATTTCCTTCTCTGTACGGTGACGGACAAATAAGGGTTTTCCTCTCCACTTGAAGGTCATGTTTTTGCCTTCTGGGATATCGGTCAGCTTGATCTCTATCTTGGATAAGGCCAGGACATCAGCAGATGCGCTCATGGAGGAGATGAACTGGGTGACGACTGTCTTGGCTGCATAAACTCCCACCACAGTGGTAGCGCCAGTGAACAAGTAAGAGAATGCCCTTCTTGCCTCACCGCTCTCTTGGGAGGACTTGTTGGGGTCCATAACCTCAGGCCGACGGTAGTCTGAAAAGTCTGGAATCTTGATGTCTGTGTGCGCAAGGCGGACTCCTCCAGGAGCTGAAGCGACAAATACGTTTCAAAGACACAGGCAGGAGATAAATAAACAGATAGTAAACTATACAACATCTCACAAAATAATAATTTTCTGTCAAAAACTCAACAACTCAGAAAAGTGTTGTTTAATTTGAGGCTTAATTCATATTTGACTGTAATGACAATAACTTCTGGTGCATTCAAATGACCCTAAAAACTGAATGACTTTGGTTTGGCAAAAATAAATCTTTAAATTTCTACCTTTAGAGCTCATGCTGTAAACTCCACACGTCCTAATTTTGCAGCCATTTGGTACTTTGAGACTAACCTACCTACTGTAATTCTTTATATGGTTGTTCTAAAAGATCCCTAAAAGTGAAACCATCCCTTAGTTTTGCCGTCAAAGACTCAGCATGCTGGTGGACTGGCAATGTTGTACTGAGCACTTCTTCATCACTTCAGTCTTACAGTCTGTGTTTTATGCTGTCTCCTTGTGTTCTCCTTTTTTGTAGTGGGTAGTTG